AAGCAGCTCTGTTCAGGAAAAATGAGAAAAGTCTGAGAAAAAAAAAAAGGAGAATGACTAGATAAACTACTTATTTGGAATTTTAAAAAAGCTGTCATTATGTTCCCTGGGAAGTGGGAATAAAGAAAAGTAAGATTGTTATGCATTGGTAAACATCTTTGTTAAATAAGAAATACGGCCAGGCGTGGTGGTACACACGTTTAATTCCAGCAGAGGCAGGCAGATCTCTGTTAGATTGATGCCAGCCTGGTCTACATAGCGAGTTACAGGCCAGCTGGAGCTACAGGGAGACCCTGTCTCAAAAAAATACAAATAAATAAATAAATACCCAGCAGGGACCTTAGGGAGGAGAGAGGAGAAGGGTCTAGGGACTGGTATTTTGCTGGAGTTGGAGTTTGTTATGTTCAGGAGCACTTTGAAGAGATAGTCACTGAAAATGCAGTCCTTTCTCAGCTAGTTAAGAACTTCTAGCTCCTTGAGTTTTGATGTTCTTAAGCCATTGTCTATTCCTCAGCCTTTCAGATCTCTGCTCAAGTGGTCCTTGAATAGACTCTTGGGATGATTGTGGAACTGAACCTTTTCTGCCACCATCTGCTCATGCCCCTTCTCAGCCAGCCCAAGGGTTTCACATAACAGACCTCAATTTGAAATCTGGTTTTACCACAGCTAGTAACAAGCTGTGAAATTTGGAACAAGTAACTAAAATTCTCAAAGCCCAAATCTCTGCATCTGTGAAATGTGAATTAAAAAAGGCTCCAATATTATAAAGCTATAATGATAATTGAACTGTATGAACTATTTCTCTATGAGGTGTTTGGCATGTTCAGTGCTTCAAAATGTTAATTCCACATCTTTTCTTTCCTCTTTATATTTGAGGGGGCCCCACGACCTCCTAATCCCATTTTAGCCCCTCCTGGGGACTCCATACCATCTAATATGAGCAATAATAGAGAAGAGTACAAGGAGAAATCTGTACATGGAAAGACAGTCAATAGTGTATTTTTGTTCACCTCCACTGTGACTTTGCAGTAGAAATATTTTGATATAGACTGTATCTCAAAATAGGAAAAGTATTTAGATATTGGATGGAAATTTCTCTCTAAACAAAAAAATGCTAGTCAAACATGACAACTATGTAAAAGTATCTATACATTCATATGTTTAATGTGAAAATATATCTACACATGCACATACTTAAAAAATCAGAAGAAAATAAAAAAAAGTGAAAACTTTTTAAGACAGCCAAAACATGTTGTTGCATTGTAATCTTGATATTATTGTACCTATCTATGGAAGAGGATCTTCTTTTCTTGACATACATGAATCTTCTTGCCTTCTTTTCAAAAGAACATCAGGAGGACAGGGTGCTGGAGTAAAGGGATTTGCACAGTGGGAATAACATGCCCCCATCTCATCTGTCCTTCTGCCCAGCCTTCCATTAACCATCATGATCTACCAGAGGCCTGGAGAGCTTCCTATCTGTGCTGCTTCAATGCCCTTGCATCATTAATATCATCATCTCTACTCTTCTTCTAGGAGTGGATCTTATCGAGGGAGGTATGGAAGAAGTTGTGCATGTTTAGCTGTCAGTCCGAACCTTTTAGAGCCAGCAGGGGACAGAAGCAGAAATCACTGTCTAATACTTTGGGCTTTCTTGGCAGGTGAATACTGCTATGCATGAGGCAAAACTTATGGAAGAATGTGACGAATTGGTAGAGATCATCCAGCAGAGGAAGCAAATGATTGCTGTCAAAATCAAAGAGACAAAGGTAAAGCACAGCACTTCAGGGAACCTAAGGAGCAGTCAACTTTTTACAAATGACAGTTTGATCCTGGTTATTGCAGTTTAAACTTGAACCATAAAAGCAAAAAGAAATGAGGTCATAGGGAGAAATGCCAAGAAGTAACATTTGGCCTAATGCTATGAACCGGATAAAAACTGTGGCAGCTTCAGATTCTGGAAATCTTCTATACTTTGACCTGGTTGTTGGCTACATAGGCCAAACATTCATTTATTGAGGAATTGGGTGTTTTACTGTGATGTGTTATAAGGAAATAGACAAAAATAAATAAAAGAGAGGTAATGGTAGAAACATGGGCCAGGATCATGAAAGGAATGTGAATGCTGCTTTGAGTACTTAAGACTTAATATGAAAGGTATTGGGAAGCCATTATAATTCCATAGGAAGGATGCAGACCGACAGATATGGCAGAGGTGTTCGGGGTCGGTCAGAATGAGATGATGTTGAAGTCAGGGAAGCATTTTTGGAAACCTCTGGAATGATTCTTGCTATGCTATGTTAATGGAAACCAGAGCAGTGATGACACACATGGAAAGGGAGAAAGTAATGATTCTAAGAGAGAAAATGGTAGGGATCTGGGCTGGAGAGATGGCTCAGCAGTTAAGAGTACTGTTTACTTTGCCGACTACCCAGGTTCAGTTCCCAGCACCCATATGACAACTAACAGCCACCCATAGCTCCAGGTTCAGTGGATCTGACGCCCTCTTCTGACCTCTGTGGGCATTGTGTACACGTGGTGCCCTTCCATAGATGCAGGCACACTATCCATACACATAAAATACAAATACATCATTTTTTAAAAAGAAAATGGCCATCTAACATATTAGATATAAAAGATGAAAGGGAGAGAGGACAGTCAAAGACTCCCAGGTTGCTAAACTTGGAACTGAAGAGTTATGATCAAATGGGACAGGTGAGGATCTCCATATAGATGTATGTTTTTTAGGCTTATTGGCCTGCCAATCGAGGATAGTGATTAAAAGCTCATGCTGTGGGTACAATGTAAAAAATTATAAGATGCTCATTTAATGACCAATACTTTGTGCCATGGTGGGTGGTTCCAGTCAACACATGAATTAAAGTTTCTAAGAATACATATTTATGAACACACAGATAAGACATAAAGATACTTAAATACATGTGTGGAAATAGGGCTACTCGTAAAGAAAAATGAGTTACTTTTGTTAAATATACTTGAAAATATATTAACAATAAAATGTAAGCAATGGTGATCTCTGGATGGTAGAATTTCTTTTCATGCTTTGTATTTAAACGTTTCTATAATGAGCATGCATTGCTGCTACAATCAGGAAAATGTTAATGCAGAGAGGAGGTAGATAGCTGAGTGTATATGGCTGAGTGCGGTATAAGCGAGCAAGCTGTAGATTGGACAGAGACTTAGCCAGCAGGATGAAAAGGTAAATGCTTAGGAGAGGGGCCACAGTATATTAATAACCCTTATTTTTAGAGTCATGGGAGCTGATTTCCTTCGTGTTGTTTTATTGTTTTTTAATTAAGCACTGTTTGTTTTGTCCCAACCCCCCCCCCTTTTTTACTAATTCCTTTAAGGTTATGAAATTGAGAAAGTTGGCACAGCAAGTTGCTAATTGTCGCCAGTGTCTTGAACGGTCAACAGTCCTCATCAACCAAGCTGAGCATATCCTGAAAGAAAATGACCAGGCACGGTTTCTTCAGTCTGCAAAAAATATTGCTGAGAGGTGGGTTCCATATATATATATATATATGAAATACCTGATCTTATGAAAAAGGCTTGTTTAAAGTCACTTAATTCTGCTATGTCATTGTATAATAGCTGCTACCTGAACTTTCGAGTTTTTCTGTTTGTTTTGTCTTGCTTTAACCAACTAGGTAATTATTGAGCCTCAGAGATAAATTGCCCTGCAGGTTTCTGGAAACTTCTCTCCATCTTTGCAGCCCACTGGCTCTTTTAACACACAATGAAGCATAAGGGCCACCTACTGCCTTTACCTCCTGCTAGTGCACGAATGATCTGTGATGGTTGTAGCAGAAGATAAACTCTGGGTTACATTGATAGATTGTGTCATTTCTAAGTCTATCAGGAAATGTTTAAAGAATTTCATATGTGCTTATATTGTATTTTAATCAAATGTACCCCCATTCCCTCCCTTCTAATTCCTTCTTAATCCCACCACCACTTTCCCTCCACACTTCATGTGCTTTCTCTTTTTTTAAACCCACTGTGTCCACTTCATGCTGTGTGTATATGCATGGGTGTATGCACAGTTTTTAATTATTGGCATTTGGTTTTTCTTGCATAAATCTCTTATACCAGTAATACTTAGGCTTTTATTTTGTTACCCGTCATTTTGAAAATTAAATGAATGTCTTGAACCTTTTCCAGAGAAGAAAAATACATTTGAGATAAATGCATAGATAATTCTTCTGCAGCTTCGAAGAAATTGTGGATCATTAGAAGTCCAACTATAGAATTTTGGGCCTAGAGTTTATGATCTAAAATGAGTCACTGTTCAGTATAGCCACCGATTCTTCAAGAAGCTACAGTGGATCAGTAGGCCAGATATGACATATATATATTTTTTTCTCATTCACTGAAGTCTCTGATGTCAGGTTCATGATCTTCCTCCTATTAATTCTGTCATTCTGGGTGACATCATTCAAACAGCTAATCCATTTAATGCTCTAGCCATCTGGCCATCCACCCTCCCTGAAATCATCTCCTTCAGACACTCCCAACTTAGATCTACTCACTTCCTGTACCACACACTAGACCTCATCATCACTCAAAATCACTGAAACCATTAACTGAAGCATCACACTTTCTAACTGCAACTTGTTTTTAAAATTCAAATACATCTTTTCTTTAACTGTATAGGGACCTCTAAGTCCTGAATCCTATATGTGCTAGATAGCTTTACTGTCAACTTGACACACCTGGGTTGAGGGAACCTCAGTTGGGGAATTTCCTCCATTGGACTGGCATGTGGCCATGTCTGTGGGGCATTTTCTTGATTGTTGAGTGATGTGGGAGGGCCCAGCCCACTGTGGGTAGTGCCACCTCTGGGCAGGTGGGCCTGTGTTGGATAAGAGAGCAAGCTGAGCAGGGGCCAGGGGAACAACCCAGTAAGCAACATTTCTCCATGGCCTGTGTTCTAGCTCCTGCCTCCAGGTTCCTGCCCTGAGTTCCTACCTTGGGCTCCCAGATGAACTGTGGCCCGGGGAGATGTAAGCTAAATAAACCCTTTCCTCCCCAAGTTGGTAGTGGTCAGAGTATTTTGTCACAGCAATGAAGAAACAAATCAGGACAGAAATTGGTACCAGAGAGTGGGATATGGCTGTGAAAAGACCTAACCTTGGTGTTTGGGGGGAGGACTGTGGAAGTGTTTGCAACTTTGGGCTGGAAAAGCCATTGCTTGCTCAGAGTTTGTTGCTGTGGAGCTTGGAACAGTTATGCTGAAAGAGTTGTAGATGATGGAGGCCTGGCTTGTGAAGCTCCAAAGGGAAGTGGAGACCATCAGGGCTGTTGGTGTGAGATTTTGGATTGAAAATCTATGGGTTCTGGTCGGCTGAGGCTGAAGAAGCGCTGTGATTAAGAAGAGACCAGAACCTGAAGCAAAACCTTTGCTTTACTTGGACAATTGATGCTGGTTAGCTGGGGCTGAAAAATCAGCTGTAAGTAACAGGAGACCAGCATCACTGAAGTGAAGTCTTCTGAGAGGTATTTCCTCAGGGTCAGCACACAGAGGGGATCCGAACCTCTATCTCAAGCTGGAAGCAGGACTTGGTAATGTGTAAGAGTCTCCTGCATGGTTCTGGTGTTGAAAGTGTGAAGGGGTCACAGAGAGCAGCTGAAGCTTGGCACTCTGAGAGGCCAGGAAAGGCCATAGGTGAACTTCAGTTGCAGCGAAAACCGCAGGATTGAAGGGGTCATGGAGAGAATCTGAGGCTTTGCACCCGGAGAGGCAAGACAAAGCCATTGGTGAAGGTGTAGCCTCAGTTTCAGTGGAGACCCTGGCTTTTTGGAGATGCCAAGACCATGGGATGACCACCAGGGACAGCGGCAGGTGTGGAATGGAGCTGGCCTGGGTCTGTGTGTGAGACGAGCTGGGTGTGTTGTGAACGGCAGAGTCAGAGAAGTGGAGCTGCCAGAACCCTATGGAGCCCAGAAGATCGTGAGTGAATCCCAGATGACCAGCCTTGAGCTGCTTTGCTGGACCTTGGTTTTGCTTAGGTGTGCCCGATTCTTCCCTTTGAAGTAAGACAGTACTTGTTTTGGATTTTAAAGAAGCCCACCCACAGTTGAGTTTTAAAAGAGACTATGGACTTTTAAGTGTTTGGATTTTTTTAAGGACTGTGGGGTTTTTAAAGTTGTACTGTCTTATATTGTGATATTAGCATCATATATTGGGGACAAAAATTAGAAAGTTTATGGTTTAATGGTGATGTATTTGTGTGTCAAGTTGACAAGGGGTCAATTGTGCTGGATAGCTTTAGTGTCAACTTTACACAGCTGGGTTGAGGGAACCTCAATTGGGGAATTGCCTCCATTGGACTGGCCTGTGGCCATGTCTGTGGGGCATTTTCTTGATTGTTGAGTGATGTGGGAGGGCTCAGCCCACTGTGGGTAGTGCCACCCCTGGGCAGATGGGTCTGTGTTGGATAAGAGAGCAAGGTGAGCAGGGGCCAGGGGAACAACCCAGTAAGCAGCATTCCTCCATGGCCTGCCTGTGTTTCAGCTCCTGCCTCCAGGTTCCTGCCCTGAGTTCCGACCTTGGGCAACCGGATGAACTGTGACCTGGGATATGTAAGCTAAATAAACCCTTTCCTCCCCAAGTTGGTAGTAGTCAGAGTATTTTGTCACAGCAATGAAGAAACAAACCAGGACACTACACTATCCTATTTCCTACCCCTGAACTCTTGTCTCCACTTCTTTCTAAGCTTATTCCAGGATTTATGAATTCTTACTTCAGCTATCTTTTCCCAGTTCCCTTTCTCATTGCCCCTTAATCACATCAACCTGATACAATCCCAACTAGTCCAACTAGTCTTATATTTTTTTCAGCCTACATTTGACTTTCAGAATGTTGGTAGAAAAAAAAAATCACACAACCAGTCCAGCAAAATATCTCCATAGGTGCAATAGTGGCACTTCTGTCTTGGGATAACTGCCTTATATTGGACTTAAGCCCCACTCCATAGGAGAGAATTCATGCCAAATATCCATGGCTAGAGAGGTCATAAGACCCTAGAGGAGAACCACTACTGCTGCTTTCCTAAACCAATTTATTCCAAATATTTACCCTTATAGCCACAGATAAATGTATCTCTCACCATTTATCAAAGGAGCTTCTTTTTTTAAAAAATATTTTATTTATTTTTATTTTATGTGTATGAGTGCGTTGCCTGCATGTATGTGAGTACACCTGTGCCATGCAATGCTGCAGAGGTCAGAAGAGGGCTCTGGATTCCCCTGGAACTGGAGTTAAGGATGGTTTGTAGCCACCATGTGGGTGCTGGAAATTGAACCTCAGTCCTCTGCAAGAGCAGTCAGTGCTCTTAACCACTGAGCCATATCTCCAGCCCAAATGAGCTTCTTTTTATAACAGATGGAGACTCTTACAAAGATCCACAGCTAGTCAAAATGCTGAGAAGTGCTACAGTGACAGTGGAGTGCCTTGTCACAGCTGAGACATCTATAAGGCAACCCCTATACCTAAGGCTCAAGGAACCTCATGGAAGAGGGGGTAAGAAAGATTATAAGAGCCAGAGGACCAAGAAGTCTGTTGCTATTTAGCATATCCTAGACATGACAGGAAAGCTGCACCCTTGAAATCTCAACAGTGGTTGAGATGGTTGCTTAAACAAGACCTGCTTAATGTCAACACAAGTTGACAAGATAGTGTAGATGGGGGAAATTTTACAACCTCCCACTGCTAGATGAAGAGCTACAGCAATCAATAGATGCTGAGGGAGGGAGTATTGTTTTACTCCAGGAATTAGTTCCCTTATAGGTTATCCAGTCCTGAATGATCAGCCCTAAACACACATACATGTAAGTATCATGAAATGGACTCAGTAATTACATATAAAGCTGAGAGAAAGTTTGTGGTTGGGGAGCATGGAAAGAGTTGGAGGGGGAGGAAGGCAGGGTGGGGTGATATCAATACAGTGCTCATATATAAAATTATCAAAAAATTTTAAAAAATTAAAAATCACAAAACCAAGGAGATTGGTGCTGCTGCACCACAGTACTGACTGCTAGGTACTGACTTGAAATCTTTCTGTGTTGCCGTGGTCCACTTTCTTCTAAGTTCACCTCCACAATGGCTATTTCAGATCTTTTGTGCTCACCTCAAATTTCATGATGCCATACTTCTACTTATGCTTAGCAAATGGCCTCCTAGTTTTCAGACAATGGTAAGTAGAAGAGGCTAATCTTTAACTTCTCATATCAAATTGCTGGACATACTTCTGTCCACAACTGTTACTTCCACCTTCCTTCTGGTCTGCGATATGGCTACATGCCCCTATTTCCACATCTTCACTCCTCAAGTTGTTACTTTCATGTCTACTTTTAAACCCACTCATGTCTCTACTGGCTAAAATAAAAAACAAAAACCCTGCCGCTCTCCTGTACATTGTATCCCCTCTAGTTGTAGTCCTTCTTCCTTGTTCCACGGAAAACTATTTCTTCACCCTTAACTTTCTTTCCTTAAAT